GTTAACCAAGCTTTAGTGACATTAGCATGTACTAGATCTACATGTACATGTATCTGTATTTGTAAATTTATCATTTTCTATTATTTCAGATACTCACTGACACTAAGTATGTACAGAAAGAAATCAACCAATTGTCTGGTAAACTTGATCGTGTATTTCAAGTAACTGATGAACAAGTTTTAAGCTACGAATCAAAGAAAGAAATTATTTTACTCCCAACATCCTATCCTTATAATTAGGATGCACGCAAGGACGAAGCTAGACGCTCCACCTATAAGCTATTAGCTAGCATTAGAGATGTGAGTCACATGACTATCACATGATTAGTAATGACACACCCACCTCTTATTATTATAGAATAGCAAACAAGTTGTTGAAGCTATTCATGAGGCAGGACAGGTTAAAAGAGAGCAGTGTGACCCTTGGTGTGACCTGGAGGAACAGGTTTGACTGGTTATTCAAACTGGCTTAACCAGTTATTGTGTCTGTGTAGATTGATTGGGAGACCAGCAAGAAAGTGACTAGTAATTTAGAGAAGATTAATTCTGACTATCAGCAAATAGCTTGTAGCTCAACTGAAATCATCTTAATAATAAATAAAATAATAACTAAACAACAAAACAATATACTGCTATTGTTAGAATTTAATATATTATTCTAAATAGTAAAATTTGTTGCTTATTACCAAAAAGCTAGTCTTTCTTTAATCGTATCATAATAAGGTAAAGAAGAACAAGCTTGCTCGTGTCGTTCATCTATCCAGATATCTGTTCGTTTATTTGTTTGCAAAGTCTCCATTAGTGATAGCACTCCATCAGTATCAATGTTAGTCTTCCAAATACCAAGTAGATTAATTGTTTTGTTGGTGAGTAGGAGTTCTTTTAGTGGTTCAACGCTGACTGAAGTTATGCCAGAATTATTATTGACAAATAATGTTGTAACTCTTGGGTTGTCATTTAATGAATCAACTAGTTCAATGACTCCATCATCATCAATAGTATCATACTGAAATACTAGCTTATATATTGATTCATTGTTTGACAGTTGATTTGACAGTGAAAGGATGA